TCCTCTATAAAGCACAGAGTTGCAGAGCGCGTGAAAAATGGCTTTTCCCACTGAGCCACGACGCGTTTCAAAACCTCTCTCTCAATCTCTCTCTCAAAGATTCCACCTACCTTACACACACATACATATATATTCTATGCTACGTGTATATACCTCCAATAACCTTCGCCGGAGACTTTGATCGTTAGTATTCTCCGGTTAGAAACCGATCCAATCGTTGTTGGATTTCTGGATCTAATCCGATTTTGATTTCCGTCAATGAGGCCGTTCTCGAAGAACGATCGTCGCCGATGGTCGTTCGATTCGATTTCCGCCGGGAAAAACCCCGTCGGGAGTGAATCTACTTCTCCAGGAACAGAATATTCCAACGGTGAAGAGTTCGTTGAGGTTACAATCGATCTACAAGACGACGATACAATCGTTCTCCGTAGCGTTGAGCCAGCAACCGCCATTAATGTCGTCGATATCTCCGGCGAAATCGCTTCAACTTCTGGTAACGGAACATTGACTCCGGTTTCGATTTCTAGATCTCCGACTATGAAACGGACTTCTTCGAATCGGCTCCGTCAATTTTCACAGGAGCTTAAAGCGGAAGCAGTCGCGAAAGCGAAACAGTTATCTCAGGAGCTTAAACGATTCTCATGGTCTAGATCTTTCTCCGGTACTTTATCATCGACGGCGAATCAAAACGGCGGTGGTGGTGGTGGTTTAGTGAACTCGGCTTTAGAGGCTCGAGCGTTACGGAAACAACGAGCTCAGTTAGATCGGACTCGGTCTAGTGCTCAAAGAGCTCTTCGTGGATTGAGATTCATTAGCAATAAGAACAAAAACGTTGATGGTTGGAACGATGTTCAAAGCAATTTCGAGAAACTTGAGAAAAACGGTTACATCTATCGATCCGATTTCGCTCAATGCATAGGTTCGTAAAATCGAAATCCAGATCCAGATTTTTGAAATTCGTAAAACTCGATTTAATCTGTGGTTTTTGTTTTTGTTTCTTACACAGGAATGAAAGATTCGAAGGAGTTTGCACTCGAACTGTTCGACGCATTGAGTAGGAGAAGAAGATCGAAAGTTGAGAAAATCAGTCACGATGAGCTTTACGAGTATTGGTCAGAAATCAACGACGAAAGCTTCGATTCTCGTCTCCAGATCTTCTTCGACATGTACGTTTTTATTTTTTTTCAAATGAGTAACAGAAAG